CTCCCTGGTTTGGCAGAAAAAGTGATAAAACTGAAGGTAGGTACGACGTTTTGCAAAAAACAAGGCAAAGTAATAGGTGAACAAAGTTTTTACTGGATGAGCTGATGTTCTGTGCACTTAAGGCAAAACATAGCTCAGGTTACGAGGTTTATGTAGAGTGCTTGATAATTTTCCTGCGACATTGGCTTCACATAAAAATTATTAAAAAAAATGGGAAAAAACTGAGTTTTTTGTATTACTTGAAATGAAAACTTTAATAACTTCCTCATTTTTCTCGTAAAAGTTTACCATCATGAAATAAGATAAGAAATAAGCTAGTGTGGTTTTGTCCTGCTCGCTTCCTCGCGTATAAAGAAAAAAGGAATCGAAAAACGCCAATTAAAAGCCTGTTTTTTGGCCATAACACCCTGATATTTCATTCGATGCTTCCCAAATTTGCCATGTAAATTACATATGACACACAAATTGTCTTGCGTGAATGTTTAGTTTAGATTATTTCTGCTAACTGGACGGAATCTGCAATAAACTAGTTCCCAAATCCGCTTTTGCCATTTAGCCAGTAGTTTCTTCATATGATTCCATCCTAAAATGGCATTCGAAAAACCTTTGATGCAAAGAGTGTTTGAGAAGGATTATTGAAGCCTTAAACTGGAGAAATTCCCGAAGAACCTCTTATTAACCCCAGTTTTACAGTAAACGTGCGAAGAAGGGAAGGGGCGTTAATGTCTTTGCATTTGAATCAAGCTTTGATGCTTCATCATTGTTTTTGTTTAATTATTAGATTTGTGAAAAATTCCATACTATTTGAAAGTTATTACAGGCATAGGAAATTTACTGAATATCTAAAACATTGAAACAATTTAACCCTGATCAACGACCAAACAAGAAGATGTTATCGACAGAATTTCTTTATTAAGTATAATCAAACACTTGCGAAGAACATACGGTAAAAAAGTTGAGTGGGGTAGCTTAGTATAACAACGGGCAATGATGCATGCAGAAAGGGGACGCAGGCAAACATTTCTAGACAGGGTCGTGCGGGTTTACAGGGCGGAGTGGGGGGTTATACAATTGCAGGCATGTACACCCAGTACCTCGGTTAGCATACATATATAAGTTTTAAATAAAAACAGACCACTTTAAGTTTCCATGTAATAAATTATTTCACCACACCCCTTTTAAAAGGACTGCGGATCATTAGACTTTACTTCCAAAGAAAAAATGAAAAGAAAATTTACACATTTTTGACGGGCCGTATTAAATTAAATTAATAAAGTGAGGAAGTGAGGGGAGATAGAGAAGACATGAGTGAGTTAGCAGATATTGACATTTAAACATTCCATATACACCAATCCTATACTTAGGTATATATATATATATATATATATATATATATATATATATATATATAATAAATTCGCTTGAGGATGAAATGGAACTAATGTCTTTAATTTAATTACAAAAATTAAATTCAGGGGCTTTTAGCTTCTATTTTTGAAACATGGTTAGAACTGTGTAGCGAAAAACATATTTTAAATCAATTAACTTAATAATATATATATATATATATATATATATATATATATATATATATATATATATATATATAATTGGTGTATATGGAATAAATTCCAATAACCAAAAATACTATTCTTAAAAGAGTGCTCAATACAGAGTTGAGCAAATATAATTCATTCGAAAATTATAACATAAATATATTATAAATTCTCTACAAAAATACCCATTTCGTTTCAAAACTCCTAGTGTCTTTTAAAGTGATGGTGTTGAATGTAGAATAAATAGTTTAAAAGGTTCAAATCTACCGAACATCCCTCGATTGGGGAAACACTGTTACATAAGCTTACAAATAAATAGTCTTCAAACACAGCTCTACAAATTTAAATAATTTTATTATTGAGTATAAAACAATCAATTTGAAAGAAACAGGTTATAACCTTCCTTGCAAGCAAATGTCATACGAAACATGTTTTCTTTACAACACAAAAGGAATGAATTATGTTAGGATCGAGTGAAAAGTATGAATGAAATTATTACGAAGATATCCACGATTTACGTCATATTATGTGTGTGCATATAGCTTAAAAATAGTAGTACACAGTCAGCTAAATATCAGCGCCAATACATTTTTAACGACAACCCTTTGTTCATGGGTCGCTTGGGTATTTTCAAATGTAAACACTGCAAATTAGTTGATTAAAATATTTTAAAAGCTAGGAATAATTTACAAAAATGTATTTTAGCACGCAATAAATTTATTTGAGTATGCAAAAATGATCAGTAATACTTACATCCCGTACGGAGATATACTGGAAAACTTGTTTATTAATTTATGTTACACTATTTATGAGTCAAAATTGGATCACAGGAAGTTTAAAAGTTAGATTTATTAAACTCGGAAGTTTTATTGCTTAACAAATATATTTCCCAATTTTTAATATCGATTTTTATGAGGGAAAAGATTGTGAACCATTTTCTGGATGTGAATATTCATTTTCTTTTTGCCTGCATGAAGTGGTTGTCTGATTTTTCAAAGCAAACCACCTCGCTCGTTGGTCAGTAAATGCTAATGTGGGAATTGAATTTGACGTTCGTGTGATTTTTTTACACAGAATTGCGATCTCAGTGATGCTATTTAGAGCTATTGAAATTTTTCTACAATTTTAACACACATACACACACATACACACATACACACACACATATATATATATAGATAGATATTTGCGCAGAAATCTTTCTTTTAAACATCTTTCGTTGAATATGATCGAAAAGGAAAATTTGATGAATTCTTTGTTTTGGTTTTCTAAAATTCTAACATTTTTTATTTAATAGAAGGGAGTGAAGAACTTATCGGTAGTGCCAATTATCCGAAGAGCTTTCGGTCTATTCTTTAGACTTTTTAAGGGGTTGGGGGTTGTTGTCAAGGGCTGTTTATTTTCATTTGGTGGAAAGAAGTTAAAAAATTATCCGTAGTGTCAATTGTCCAAATCTCTTTCGGCTGCTTCTTTAGACCTTTTCACGGGTGGGCATGGGGTGTTAAGGGATGTTAATTACTTTTCAGGTTTGTTTTTGTAGTGTCTAAATTGGAGTACGTTTATACTGAGCCGCACGATTTGAGCGTGGTTGGGATACTATTTGTAAAAAAAAAAGGCGAGAATGAATTCGAGAAGTATTAAGTATGGGAAGCTGTTGGTATAAACCAATGGCTTCTGTTAGCAATTATAGACATTTAAATATGTGACGTCATGAGCTGCGGTGCGATTTTGTGACTTCCAGCGTCTTATATGCATGTGTTTATCGTTGCTTAAATCATCCATGTAAACAGAAACAGATTATTATCACATTCTTGTCCGTTTTTATATTGTACGTAATTGTCAATAATGGCTTATGTAGTCCGTCTTATTGATTAAAAAATATGCATCAATATTGTGTTTATCGTTGAAAGAAAATAAATAGTTATATATATATATATAATGAAAAATTACAAACAATATATATATATATATATATATATATATATATATATATATATATATATATATATATATATATATATATATAATGATAATAATTATATATATATATATATATATATATATATAATGATAATAATTATATATATATATATATATATATATATATATATATATAATAATTATATATATATATATATATATATATAAAGATAATAAAACGACGAAGACTTTAATTATCCATTTCGATTATAAATATATTTCGTGAACACCGAGATGTTCAAATCTTCAGACCGAAATCGCCTCTCCGTATATATATATATATATATATATATATATATATATATATATATATATATATATCGTGAACTCTGAACTGTTGTAGATAGTCGCGGGTCGTTAACCCGCGCCTACGAGGGATGCTAAGCACGGCTAGGCGGCGGAAGGAAGCGGGAAATCCGCGCCGGACCGCCTTCACCGCGATACGTCACCCTACGACGTATGAGTGTCAGGCCACTCAGTTCCTAGAAACCGACAGCTAGATAACCTGCGCATAGGATTTAATCGTAGTGGTGAAGGTTTTGTGCAGAACCAGCCAAACCTTTTGAAGATCCGAAAACAGAGACCTGGTGCACCGTGTGCCACAAAGCACCCAAACGACCCTCAACAGGTTTTGGATTCAGAGTTGACCTTGTCCTATACCAATTGCCACCCAAGGCTATAGAACTCAGTCTGTCCTGCTATTTACCCATATCTTGGGGGAGAAGAAAAGGATACATACTTTAGCACGTAAGTGAATGTATATAATAGGTAAGTGAATATATATATATATATATATATATAGATATATATATATATTGAAGTTAACACCCAGTGGCGACAGTCTGTTTCATGATTAAAGGCAATCGTCTTTCTTCGTTATGTAGCTCTAGAAATTTCAACTGTCTTTTTCTGTTGTCCTTTCTGTTGCCATTTTCTCTAAAACTTCAAAGCTGCTAACATGTTCAGTGCATAGTATTCCCATCATCCTTCTGTAGAACCACATTTCTATCCTCTCTAGTATCTTCTTCATCTGTGCCGAGGTAGTCCCACATCTAGTGCCATATAGGAAAGTTGATATTACATAAAGTTTAGGTGCATTTTTCTTTGTTTCCAACGAAATTTTTCGGTTTCTTAATATTTTGCTTAGCTTTTGGAATGTATCATTTAACATACCATTCGAATGCGCCAGCTGATTTCAGCGTCACTTCTTCCGTCCTCTGTAAAACACCTCCCAGATATTTAATATTCATCGCTGTTGCACAGTTGTCATTCTAATACGTTTGCCCATTGATTTATCTGTTGTAATTTGTAGTGATTTAGCGGGAAACAAAGAAAAGGTTGATTCATGCCTTTCGCAAGGGTATTTGCTCGTAAGAGAATATGGCGAACTCAACGGGAATTCGAACTCGGATATCCAGTTAAAAATTCTGAGACATTATCCATTAAACAAACCGCACATCCACGCTTACAGCACCTGGTATTCCCAAGTGGTAACCCATCTGGGTAGCTACCAGACTCCACGTTGCTTAACTTCGATAATCTTACTGGAACCGGTGTTTCAACGTGATATGGCCGTAAACCTTCCGACGGAGATGAGATGATGATTTTCTAAGCGTAGCTTAGAAGGGACACAAGGCTGAAAGTGCAGGGCACACAGTGAGGATCGAACTGACTATTCAGTTGTAATTGACCTCGCAAGACAAGCTTGTTAACCATGTCGAAATGTGTTAACATTAATTTTCTAAGAGGAACGTAAATATGGCAGAAGGACGAAAACATGGAGCACCTGGTGAGGATCGAACTCACTACTCGCTGGTAACTGAACAAGCAAGACAAGCTTGTTAACTATTAAACCATGTCGAAGTGCTACGTGTTTCTTAAATGTGGCACAAGGCTTACAGTATAGAACTCACTAGTTGGTCGTAATTGATATAGCGAAACAAGCTTGTTAATTGTTAGACCACGATGAAGTCCACAAGAAAAATGAGATGGTTTCAATATTGCGAATCAAAACTAAAAACGGAAAGTATTCTGTGTGAGTCAAACAATCCATTATCCTGTCAAAACAAACCCTGGCTCGGGAGAACAAAGGCAACTACATAAACTAAAGGAAAAGAACATGGTAACAACCCAACACAAAAAGACTAACAGAAAATCAGATAAGTGACTATTTTGTTCGTGTTCAATTTCTTCTTTTAGAGAAGTTTAATTTAAGTAAACACGAAAATAACTAAAGTTGTCTCACTCGGGGGTTAACACAGGTTAGGACCCGTTGGAGAATCCAGAAACTCTATATCAAAGATGGCTGAACTGGAAAATGAAGTTGGAACGTTTTATTCTGTGACATTCAGTTGTCACCGACACTGAACAGAAACGAGCTATTGTTTTGTTTTGTAACTGGCGGAGAGGGTTTACGTGTAATCTTGGAGAATTTCACGGAAGAATAAAAATCAGGATAAGAGGCTAATGCGAAAAGTGTCCAGAGGGAGGTGTAGCCAATAGTCAGTCATCTAACGTCTTGATAAAACCTTTGCTCTGTCAGAAAAAAAATCTTTCTGTCCCTTAAAACATTCTGGGTTGCCAGGGCCAAACACGGAGGTGACAGTGAACAATTTTATTACTCTCCTAATGCTGTTGTTTCACAAGGGACGTGGAAAATAAAAGAAAGCAAGGAAAAACCAAATTGGGAATTGGAACGAGTTTGTTTAACGGTGACAAGAGAATGAAATTAATGAGAGGAGACAGACTTGTCATGGGTTAAAAAGAAATAATTATTTTCTTTTTAATCAATTCACTCCAAGCAAGAGATAATGTCACTCAGAAGCAAGTAACTACATGGAGGAAAATGGAATAAGATTTTAGAAGGAACTGGAAAATACAATCAGAAACAGAAAACAATTGACAATCCTCTGCTCATGTTCAAAAAACAGTAGAGGTGTGTGAACCGGGCGAAAGACAAACCTATCTACTCCTATTAAATGGGGAAGTGAAAGGGGAGCAATTTGGAAGAAGGATTGAAAGAGGCGAATGATGTCTAAGGAATAAACTGAAAGAAATGTCCAAACAAAAACTGAGAATGACAGAAATAATGGGAAAACAAGAGGAGAAGCCTTGATGGAATGTTTTGTGCTTGCGTCACAGAGTCTTCTTAATTAAAATAAAAATGGCGAAAAAAATGAACAGAGGTCAGTCTAAATAGGAGCAAATGACCAGGGGCTTGCATCAGCCAAGTTGATTAGAATAATATTCGAGTTAATGAAATTAAGAGGAATTTGATAGCCAGCAACACCGACTGAAATAATTTGATGCCAGTGAATTCCCCGGGGTTTATCTTTATAATTAAATAATTATCAAGACCGACAGTTTTAATGAGAGAAAAAAATAAAATACAACAAAAGAATTTCAAATGTGAAAGTGTAAATTTAAACATTATCTGCAAACACAGCATAATTATATTGTATCGTATCTATCTCTTCCCCCCCCTCTCTCTCTCTCTCTCTCTATCTATATATATATATATATATATATATATATATATATATATATATAAGATTACCGAGCTAGCTATCTTCGGCCTATTCATATCTATCTATTTTTTAATATTTTTATAATTTATCTATCTAGATCTGTTCATTATATATATATATATATATATATATATATATATATATATATATATATATATATATATATATATATCATTCCATTCTCATGTATCTATCTATCTGTTATAGTTTTATTAATATATATCTGTTTATTAATATTCTGTATTTAATTTTCTTGGGCAGTTCCTTATCTATCTGTCTATTTAGCTAGCTAGCTATTATTTATCTATCTATTTATTAATATTTTGATATTTATCTATCTAGAGCTGTTCATTATCTCTATATATATATCTGTGGGTTTATAATCTATCTATCTATCTATCTATCTATCTATCTATCGATCTATCTGTTCATATCTATTTGGATTTCAAAGATAAAATTATCATTTTCATGTTACCTGAAGACAAAGCATTATTTATATCTGTGTCTCTGTCTCTCTCTCTATTTATCTCTCTCTCTCTTGAATATATATATATATATATATATATATATATATATATATATATATATATATATGGTTAGATCCAGTGACAGACCCAAAGAAGGTGAGTTCAATACCTGGTTTTCAGGGGAAAATTAGGAGGAGATAACTGATAACTGACATCCATCAAACATGACACGTGGAACTAGAACAGTCTACCCCAGTGATCGAAATAAAGGGTTCAGTTCGAAATTCCAACCACCTGAAGAAGGCCGGAGCGTACAACGGCCGAAACGTTGTGACAAATATGGCGACATATATATATATATATATATATATATATATATATTTATGGCCTTTATACATCTTTATAGAATTTACATTATGACATCACTTATCGTCACTACTATAGTGGTTTTATAACTCAACAATAATCCGTCTCATCTTCGGACAATCGGATTTAACGGACCACCCATCCCCCTATTATTTCTTGATGGGAGTTTGTCTGTATTTTAAGTAAAAAAATAAGCAGTCATAATATCCGTTGTCTTTAATACCTATCTATTTGTATAAAAATAAACAACCAGATTAATCATTTATATTAGAATCGTCCATTCAATATGCATGCATCTATAAAAACTCAAAATAAACAATATAAATTTTGACATTCATAATATACGTTTATCAATAAAAATCTATGAAATATTGCCATAATCATTTTCTATCATGCACTGACAAATGTCGAATATAATTTAGTATTTCTATTTATCTTATCTCAACATCTTTATCTGCCAAAAATACGTGAGTCTACATCTTTAACTACTATAGCATATAACAAGATGTTGAACGAACACACACAAAAGTCAAGATTCACACACACATATATATGTGTGTGTGAAAAAGAAAGAAAGAAAGAAAGAAAGAAAAAAAAAGAGAGCAGAGAGATATTCCAAAAGTATGAGTACATCGAGAAAGTTTAAAACTGTCCGGACAAGCGTGACACATGAAGCAAGGTTCCTGTCAACTGCCACCATTGGCGAGAAGATTCAGCTTGCTCACGAGATGGTAATGACGAACAGGTGAGTTATCATCGATGTGGTGACATGTTCTATGTACATTCCGATCATTGTTGCTCTTTGTTCCACGCTGGAGCACAATGCAAGCGGAACGGCCATGTTTACATTTAACAACAGCAAGAAAGGCAGCGAGACAATGCTAAAGATATGTCATGGCAAAACTTGGATAATTTTTTTTTTTTTTAAACATCTTCATCCTTATAAAAAAGGAATCTGTGGAGAATGATCGACGATGGGGTGTCAAGACATTTAACAAAAAAAAACGAAACTACAATTCTTTCTGATGAACCTCAGTATGGGGCAATGGATAACGAGTTTTGATTCCCACTTATTATTAAAAACTAAAGTTAAATAAGTGAGCCAGGGTGATGGTTAACGTAGTCTGGTTGACCAATGATATTCATTGGATATCTCATACATGCGGCAATGTGTCTCCATGTGTCAAGTGTAAGGGGGTATTGGTTAACAAGTTTAACATCATCTTACTTATTATAAAACGCAGATTGATGTGTGTGTGTGTGTGTGTACGTTTATATATTGGATCGGATTTCCTACATTTTCAACCGATTTCAACAAAACTTCACAGGACTGCGTAAAATTACCTTGCGGTTTCTGACAGCGCTAAAAATTGGAAAATACAATTGTTTTGCACGAAATCAAATTTAAAAAACACGATCCTGTCGCCAGAATGAAAGGGGACAACTCATATCGAGTTATACTTATTTTTGTTTTTGTGTATGTGTGTGTTCGTTTATATATGGGATCAGATTTCCTACATTTTCAACCGATTTCAACAAAACTTTTTTTTTTTTGGCAAGTAGTGTTTCTTATTGTCTTGCACAATTTTTTTTATTTTAATTCAGAATGCTTTAAAAATTCCATTTACAAGACAATTGTTTATATTAAAATTCTATTCAATCGGTAGACTCATAACGATTGAAAACAATGTTTTTGTTTGAGTTTGGGTTTGACCAATTCTTAAAAAAAAAAAAAACTAATTAAGACATGCGTGTCCGTCAACCTTAAACAATAATCTTTGTCAATTTTATTTTTCAGTCTTTATTATGGTCGATAATTGATCTATCTCTTACTGTTACATCCCCGGGCAACGCCGGGCTCTAGTGCTAGTTCATAATAAGTAGTGAGGTAGATCCTCACTGATTGGGTCACAATAGTGGCCTTGTGCCAAGGTAAACGAAGCTTAGTAATTAATGGTCCATTCGGTATGGGATAATGGCTGGTGAGCTATTCTGGCTGACCATTATATTTGAATAGTGAGATTGATTCTTACTGGTTGCTCAGTAGTCGTGGCCTTGTGACAAACTATACTGAGTTTAATAAGTGACAGCAGCTACAAATTCTTCTCTTTAACTATATCACTCTCTTTTACGGTAATGTTATATGGAAGAGATGCTGAATATTTCTCAAACCTATCAAGATATTCTTTTGAAAATATGATGGGATAAGCATGAGGCG